AATGGAGTTAATCTGACCTGAAAGACGAACAACTCCTACCTGTCTTCTGATAAGGTAGAAGAAACCATAGGAGCGACCTGGCATGGAATCTAACCCATGGCACTATATTAATGCATAATATCATTTTCCCCAGGAGCTTGGAAAGCATAGCCAGGGGCACTCTAGGGTTAGATTTTATATGGTCAATTAACTGATACTCTCCTGACATTCCTGGGACAAAGACACCTTGGAGGAAAAAGTATCTAATACAGCTCCCAGATGGAGTAAGGAATTGGTGGGAGTAAAGTGGCTTTTTTGGCCTCTTTGACAGAGAAGCCATGCTCTTGGAGAACTTGAATGGTGATATCCATATCTTCTGCTGCCCTAGATGGGGAAGATGACTGGACCAGTATATCATCCAGGTAGCACTGGACTCTTACTGGGATTGCCCTAATAAGGGCTGGCAAGATTGCCACCAGCTTAGTAAATGATCTGGGGGCTGAAGAAAGGCCAAGGGGCAAGGTCCTGTATTGGTAGTGTCCCCCATTATAACAGAATCTGAGGAACTGCTGATGGGTCGTAAGTTCAATGGGAGAGGAGGTAGCCCTCCCGAACACTCTCTAGAATAGAATGTAGCATCTGCATTTTAAGGCGTCTGAATGGGATAAACACATTCAGAAATGTTAGGTTGAGAATAACTTGCCAACCCCCCCAAGCCTTGGGGACAACAAAAAGCCATGTATAAAACCCACATCCCCGTTGGAGTTCAGACACTGGTTGAATGGTCGATATGTCAACTAGGTGTTGAATGGCCGATTCCATAAGGGCCCTTTTTTGAATTGTCCCGCGAGATGGGGCACAGCAGGAAATTTCCTGGGGATGATGATAGAAATTCTAGTTGTAACCCTGACCTTACTGTATTGAGTACCTAGTCGTCCATTGTTGACTCCTCCCATTTGGATGAAAAGACAGCCAAATGACCTCTGATGGGAAGAACGAGGGATTATTTAGAGTGATGGAATGACCCCTTCCCCCACGAAAGTGCCATTTACCCGCAGTTTGTTGTTGTCTGCCCGGTATGTCAGGGCGTTGCTCTTGGCACTGGGAATACACTCTCTGTGGCCTGGAGAAGTAATTTTGGGCCTAAATGGAGGTGGCAGGTAAGGGTCAGGATGGAAGTCTGCCCTCCAGCCTGGCGAGGAAGGAACTTTTCCTTTGACTCGCATTTTGACAATGAATGGATCGAGAGCATCATCGAACAGCTTGTCACTGGTGCTGGGGCCTGAAGCTAGCTTCCACTTGCGCAAGGCTTTGTTGCCAAATTTGTAACCATAGCAGTCTCCTCCCTGCCACAGACAAAGCCATGGTCCTGGAGGAGAACTGGTGAAAGTTAGGGTGGTGTCCCCATGAATTCCACTGCTGCCATAATCTTATTGAGATCTTGATGCGATCTCAAGTCCGATGGAGATATGCAGTCTTGTAGCTGGTGCAGCCAACAGATAAGAGGACCTGTGAAAAATGATGGATCAGTCAAGGCCCGGAAAGCTGAAGCAGAGGCCTGGTGGTTACATTTTAATGTCTGCTTGGCACGTTTGTCCCCTGCCTAAAGTACATCCTCAGGCTCAGTTGGAGTGCCCAAGGAGAAGGAAGCCATGACTGTAGCGTCTACAGAAGGAACTGTAAGAGCAGCAACAAGGGAAGGGCCCACATTGTAGAACCGCCTGTCATATGAAGATGCGGCAGGAAAGGTGAATTCCGATCAGATCCAGAAAAAACTGGGTGATGGAAGGACCTTCGAGTGGACTGTGTTTTTGAAAAAGAGGAAATCCCTGGACCCCTACTATACCACCTGAGGTTCGGGGGCAGCCTCCTCTGGGGACACTGGGCAGTAACCAGTGCCTTGTGGAGGAGAGGCTTGAATAAAGCCGGTTTGTGGCTGACGGGGGTTGATCGGGTAGCAGATCTTCCACTTTCTCAGAGAGGTTGGGGTCCCAGATTTCTCCCTCCTCCCGTTCAGGAGAGTGGCTACGTTCCGATGGTTCTGTATAGACTCCCTGCTCTAGCACCCCCCCCCCATCTTGATTGAGCAGAAGGGGCCTTGTGCTCCTGTGGGTGAAGCAGTCCCCTCTGGGGGATCTGGCTTGTAGTAGACCAGCAAAGTGGGGCTGGGCCCTGTTTGAGGGTCAAAAAATTCATAGCATCCCTTCTGCTAGGCCCTGTCTGATAGCAATGGACACTACATCTTGGAGGTAGTTGGGTCTGCACCAAATGATGGATCTGAGGGGCAAAGGCCTGCAGCGGGGGGTGAAGGAAACCTCGAGTTTAGGTTGAGAACATCTTGGGCCATGGAGGGCCAAGCTGAAGAGAGGTCCCAAGAGGCCTGTTTAAAAATTGGATCCTGATCTGCTTAACAACTAGAGGATTGGCTGGTTGGGAAGCCTGTTGTAGTTGACCCCTCATTTGCTCAATAGTTTCGTTGAACTGCCTTTCTAAGGCTGCATGCCTTTGTTTCTCTGCCTTTAATTCGGCCTGGGATGTTTTCTTGGGGCCCAAAGCTTTGGCCCTAATATTTGCGGCCACCTCCCTTTCAACAGACTAGGAGCGTTGTCTCCTTCTCTTTCTTTTGCCAGCTTGGGGGCCTTGAGAGATCAGGCCTGAAGGCTCTGTGTGGGCCTTGTCTTGATCCATACTATGCATAAACAGACAAAAAGGTGCTGGAAGCGATCCTCACTATGTGAATAGCCTGAATAGGAGCTTAAGAATAGTGGAAGCTGGCCTTTGTGGGATGATGCCACCTAAAATGACTGCTCGCTACTTTCTTTTGAAGAAGCAGCTTTCAAAATGGCCACTCACCACATGCAGTTGAAGAAGAAGCTTCCAAATTGGCCGCTCGCAAGAACTACAGGCTATGCAGTGGTTAAATCGCTCCTTAGGCTGTAAACAGCCCTGAATGGTGAAATTGGCAATAAAGTGAAAATTTACGATCAGCTGAGAGGTGCTGTTATCGCCTGATGCAATCTTGATCTTTACAATTGTGGAGGCCGAAATCGCTGAGAGAAGACTGTGGGGGAGGATCAAGGATTATTCCCTATTTACAGTCTCCCTCAGTTGAAGAAAATGTTGAATCCTCGTTGCAGGAGGGTGGATGCCAATGATGAAGATAGCTTTCGCTTTTGCAAACTAAACTGCTTTCAGAGACACCAGCTTATGGTCATTGAAAGAAGCTGAGTCAACGCTGGGGGGAAACTCCCACAGGCAGTCCTTTTTATACAAGACAGACCCAGCTTGATGATGTCATCAGGAGTCTAACCCATCCTGGGCTCTCGCAGCAGCATTTAGGAGAAAGGATCATAAGCTCTCCCTGAAAAGGACAAACCCATTCTACAAATTAATGCATATGCAGATATGGTGTCAGAAACAACACAGCAATCTATGGTTGCATCATAGAAAGTCACAAAGATGTAATCTGGTGAAGCAAACCTTGACTGTCATTCCTTTAATTTTGGTGTGCACACTTTTAAGAATTTGTCATTAAATCTCAACCACGATGACTATAAGAGCTTTCTTATTGCTGTTGCCAGAAGCATATATATTCATTTTATTGGCTATGTGCTTCAGAATTAGCCACAGCATCAACTGCAGAAATCACGAAAGATTGTTTTATTCATGAGATGGAGTGCCTGAAACAGTCAAAACTCTTGAAACTTGTCACATCAGAGAATCAGAATCAAAAGTAGCCATTCAGTTCAACCCTGTTCAATGCAAAAATGCAAATTAAAGCATACATCCAAGATACAATGCTGCCACTTGAATACATTCGGTGACGGAGTGCCCACCCCTTTTCAGGGTTCTATTGTTGAATTTTCCTTCTATCACTCTGAAAAAACTGCAGGGGGTGGGGAGAGACCTAGCCTCTTTTGGGTGAAACATTAACCAGTTATTTAAAAAGTGATGAATGCTATCAAATGCTTCTTTTTCTTTTACAAGGCTAAATATATTCAGTTCTTTCAGTTGCTCTTCAGAGATCAGAGATGAGCCAGAGTTCCATTAGCAAAGGATGATAGAAGGACTGGGCAAGACCTGTTGTGAGACTTCTTTCATACCTATTGTCTTGGCTGATTGGCTTCCTGAATGACCAGGTGGTAATTTCAGATGCTGTATAATTCATTGCTGGAGTTCTTGTGTGACTTAAACTAAGTTTGTTGGCTGGGGAATTCTGGGAGTTGAACTCCACAAGTCTTCAAGTTGACAAGGTGGGACATTTCTGCTCTAAAGCCTACCAGTATTCTGAAACTCACCAACACTGCAAAGGTCTCTCAGGCCTTCTGACATAATGTGAATTTGGGCTGAGAAAGCCGCTCTGGATTCTACTTGGTGCTGAATCTTATCTTAAAGTAAAAACAGGGCCCTGCATTTTCATGATGACAACAGACACTGAAATGACCCTCATGTTATTTCTGTTATGATCTTACTTTAAAAATACTTCTGCAGGATGCTTTATACAGGCCTCCTACACACAACGCTGTGAACCTTTATCTGGACTACTTTAAAACAGCCACAAACATAATCCACCACAATTTATTATTTTAATACAGATAAATCACAACCCCAAACTTAACACCACAAAAATGGCATCATAAACAATTGTTTTAAAGTTTATCAACATTCATTTGCTATGTACATATTTCCCCCCTGCAAAAGTGCAATCCAAAACTTTTTTTTTCCTTTTGAGGAAAAAAGGCTTTTACTGACAAATGCAAATAGGACAAGCTGGATACCTCACAACAATTTGCCCTTGCATACCTCGTACAATTAAATCAGAAGAAAATTAAATTTGCTACATGTCTTCCTATCAAAAGAGCACACTGACAGAATCACCTGTTGCCTCAAAATCTGGTTTTCAGTAATTCACTCACTTAAAATGATCAAATAAGCATCATAGTCGTATTAGTCTCAGGTGCACTTAATGTTTTTAAATGGAGTTAAAATATATGTTTGTGATCAAAGACACTATTCTGCTGTTTTTTTAGGAACACATTTTCCTTTCTCTTCACAAAGGGCGGGAAAATGCAGAATTAATATTTAATATCTTCATTTTGTTATTTGTATGTGGAGGTGTGGTTACCCATATTGGAACAATTTTCTGCCACAATGTTAGCATCGTGTTATCAAATACAAATGCCATGGTGAATAAAAAGTTTTATAAAGTTTGGAAAAGATGATGTGGACACAGCAAAAGAATTTAACATGGTCTTCCAATATTTAAGAAGAAAAACAGTTTAGAGATATAATACAGACATTATGGTGGTGACTGCGGAAAGAAATTTCTGCCAGATGCATTACAGGATATATCTCTTGTTGCACACCTTGGCAAAGTGAAATGGCTATATATGACTATTGTATCTTTTCTTTTATGTACGCTGAGTGCATATGCAGCAAGACAACTTCCTTGTGTGTCCAATCACGCTTGGCCAGTAAAGAATTCTATTCTATTCTATTCTACACATGGAGATGATAAGTGGCAGTTTATAAAACAACTGTGGAAACTTAGAAAAAAGATGCAGCTGTGCAGCTGCTTTAACATTTCAAAGAAAGCTGCCGTTTACTGTCTAGTACACTGTGAAGCTCTACTTTCGACGGATTTGTCAGCCCCAATTTATGTGATATAGCATTATATGCAATCATCAAGAAGGTCAAATTAATTCAAATTCATATATATCAAGAACTGTTATTTTGGGGAGGTACTGATGATGCTAACCCACAATAGGTAATTTATACACTATAGATATCAATCTTATATCAGGTTGGTTTTAGGAAATTTTTAATATGCTTTTTTTAATTAAAAAAAGAAATGCATTTATTTGTAAGATTCATATTAGCATGTAAACAGCCCAGAAATGATTTTCGCTAATGAAAGTGTCCTTTTTTGTGCAATTCATCCAATTTATTTCCTACTCTCTCAATGTCTTGATCCTGTATTATTTAAGATTAATTGCAATTCTGCAAATTCCCTTTTTAAATGGCCAGACCCACAACAAGCATTTGTGGAGACATAATTTGAGCGGATGCTAAAATATAACCAACACATCCCATAGAACTCAATTTTCATACTGCCAGCTTCAATGAATACACGAAGCCCCCTAGGAGCAATTTTCCTCAATACTGAAGGATGCCAAATATCTGCAGGGGGAACGTGCATAAGAAACCACACTCCCTCTCTCCCTCCCTCCTTTTTCTAAACTGCAAACATAGTATTTATTTGCCTTATATTTTTCTTGATATCTGTGATTTTGGATTTTGATTACTATGCTGCTACTCTGCTTTAGTACTCGCCTTAAATTTTGAATGAGCAAGTTGATGAATACTACCTTTGAAGCTAAAAAAAACTTGACGGCTATGGATATGAGGTTTCCTGGGCAATTCACACTGAGTGAAGTAGAGAGGAGGAGTAGTAGCCCCTATGAAACTTGTTACCGAGTAATGCCTGACATATTTAACATTGTGTTCTATGTATGCAGGTTGTGGGTAATGCATGCACATAAATATGAGTTCACGGCCTCTATCATTCCTGTATAATTTAATGTCAATCAAATATATCAATTAGGAAGGAACTCTATGCCTCAGGCAGTGACAAATATACAACTGCCAACGTTCAAATCTTTACATGGTGATGGGAAAGAGGAACATGATTTATAATCCAAATCAAATGCTAAATTGTACACGGCATGCAAATTAGAAAATAAACAGTATCAGAAAAACCTCAATAGAAAAATCCAATTGAATTGAAAAGTAAAATACCTCACTACTATTCCCCCGTCTTGAATAAGTACAATAATGTTAACAATGAATGTTTTTGGAAATTAGAATCCAAATATTTCAAACAGTTTGACAGTCTTGCAGGGCTGAAAGAAAACATAGTTCATCAGACCACGTATTATTGGATATCCATTTTATTATACTTTTGAAGCATGTGTGTCTTTTCATTCATGCCTGCCATGATCCCAATGCAGCATTTTCCTTTCAATAGATTATTGTTGCTATACAATGTTTATTATCCAGTACAAAATTTGGAGTGATTAGATCCACCAAAACTCCACAGAGCTTACACACACTAGAATAATCATCCCACAAATAACACTCTTCAGTTGGTCTGAAACTAGTATTCCCAAATCTGCAAGTTACAGACCCAACAATTGAAACAAAACAGAGAAAACTGCACTTTAAAAAATGTAATTATTTCTCTGTACATCTTTTTTTTCAGGGCTACTTGATGGAGCTTGCATCATGTTGAAGAACTGCTAATCTTCCCTCCCCCCATCTAAATTACTTCTTCCCCCAGAGCTATTTTGAGCTAAGTAGCCTAGAACAATCATCCAAATTATAACTGAATGTTACTGTTGCGACATTTCACAACAACTCTGGAAAAGGAAATAAGTTTATACTGCCCACTGCCCACACTGACCCATCACATCATTGCAATAGACTCCAAATTATCACATGCAATATTCATAAAAACCTAAAATAAAATTATATTGAAAAATCTTATTACAAATTTCTGATGTGACAGCTCATTTGCTCCTTAGTGCTGATCTACATTAATTACATTTACCTGCTCATCTTTGGAAATAATGTTATAATTATAGTTCAATAAAACATTCCATTTTCAAGTAGATCATTTGTTTCTAATGTTGAACAATTTGTGCTGAAAAACCAAATAATACTATCAAATTTCAAAAGACTGAGCATTCACTTTTAACAAAAATTTTGCACATGTACAGACAAAGTAATTACAATACTGATAAAAGAACAACAAAATAATTATTTTGTTCTTAAATTTCTTAGGTTTTGTTTTTGTATCTCTGAGGAGTACAAAAAAGAATCATTTCAATTATTTCACTTTTAATTTATCATAAATTAAAAGTTTTTAAAAATTAAGTAAAAGTGCCATTTCAAAATAGGTACTAAAAAGTGGGTTTATCCTGTTTTAATACAACTTAATTCAAGCTAGGTTTCAAAAGACATAAAGTGAATTCCACAAGTCATGGGGCACAAAGCACCTCACATGATAACATGTATCCAAAACAGGGAGGTTCAAAATATTGAGGTCTATTTTTTCAACAAGATAGCGTAAGCTACTACTTTAGCAGCTGTTTTGAACCAGAACCCTTTGTATGAACCTTAAATATGCTGAAGTCTTTTAATTGATTCCTTGTCTGTTTATACACAACCCATATATGCACACATAATCTTGGAAGTATTTCTGCAGATATGTTTCCAGATGATATGTGAACAACTAATAAAAACTGTTCTATAAACACTATTCAGTTTTAAAGAACACTATTGAAATACTGTAAAGAAATTATTAAATATTTCAACCTATATGAAAATTAATTCACAGGAAGGCACACTAATCTATCATCCTTCATTTAGTTTGAACATCGTTTACTATAACTGTATAAAGAGACAAGGGTTAATCACAATGAAAAAAAATCTGCAACGTAAATTGCAGATACCTCTCTTGATAACAGATTTTTTAATGAGTTTTGCAGTACTACCGAACACTCTAAGGTGACTTTAAAAATGCTTGAAAAAAGCTGAAATAAAACAACTTATTAAAATTGCAAGCTTGTTAGCTTGTTGGGGTTTTTTGTAGAAATTTCCCTGACTGTTTGAATTACAGTGTTAGTGGAAACAGTATGATCTGTCAGTGAGAGTAACTATGATTATCAAATATATATCCCAGGAAGACACTATGCAAAAATAAAAGTTTTAAACAGTGCATTTTCTGACATAGTATTACATTCATTTGTCAATGGTTAAGTTTACCTCAACTGAGTCTCAAACTGTATTAACCAGCACTACTAATATTATCAAGTCATGATTTTGCTCCCAGGAATGATGAAAATTCAACAAAGGAACAAAATACAAAGATAATCATTGAACAGAGGTACACACAAGGAAAATGTCTTTGAAAAGCTGGCTGTACAACAACCAAGCATCCTTTCTTAGTTTATCTAGTACAGATAGGATCTGCATACAAACGTGAAGTCTGTGGATTAACATTAAGCAACGGAAAGGTTATGTCAATTTGTGATCCTGTGGCACACCTCCCCTCCCTCTTCCATATGTTATATTAGGCCTTGAAATATATTAGAGTGCATGGGAAAAGGCAACAGTAATGGGAGTGCTGCTTAGCATGGAACCACTTTCACCCTTCATCTGGGCAGACTTAGAATTTACTTTCTTCTACACGTTTACGAAAAGCTGTTCATCTCTCCAACCTACAACAACTTCTCCTTATCTTGGAGTCACTGTTTTCATTTAATAAAGGGAACAAATAGAATGGAATTTTCTCTCCAACCTGGGTAAATATAGACAACTTCCCAGATGCGATGGAACATCTTTTTTTGAATACCCAGGCAGTGTGATCCCAACACATCTGGAAAAGAATTAGAATAATATGATAGAGAGAAAAAAAAGATGGCGCTGCATCTCCAGCCTTCACTGAAATCATGGCAAGAGGACCTCTGTCTGAATGACACACATCTACACAGGAACACATGTACACAATCACGCAAAGCTGCTGTACTTTCATTTCAGTTAGAAAAAAAGCCCCCCCTCCTCTTCACAGAGCAGATCTTATAAAAGATATGTAAAATAAATGGAACAATACTCATAAAATAGCTATTACTATGGCAAAGCTTTTGTCAATAAGCCTCCAGAACTTTAAATGAGGAAAATGGCTTCACAAAATGATAGTCCAAATTTCCACAGTGTGGACACTGCTGAACGTTGCTGTATTCTGAGAAATACTGCATCCCAATACGTACATCTATAACAGGTTTCCCACAGTGTTTACAGTTCAGCCGAGCCTGTAATAGAGAGAGAGAGACAGAGAAAAAGAGAACAGAATTTCAAAAATCTCATAATTGGCTGCCACTGTCCACCAAACTCTATCATGTGTCTGTTTTATTCTTACTGAATACGCCTTGTGATTATAGCCTGATGGGCTAATTCCTACTATAGCTTGTACTTGGGAAAGCTTGCCTGAATAATAAAATGCGTAACATCAATCTCTTGTGTCTGTAGAATCAGCTATTAATGTGTTTTCATAGATTAAAAAAATGAATCAGTTACCTAGAGAGGATTGCATTTTACAATACCTACATTGCATGAATAGATTTCTCTAGGTATATCGCACAATAATGGAAGGCAAGGATTAAATCTAGGAGGATTTGATTCTTTCGATTCATTTTATCTTAACATCTGGCCAATATGACCCTGAAGTATTGACATTGTTCCTCTAGGAGGGCATTTTCAGGAGATGAAACAGCATTGCACCACCAGGCTTCATCTTGATCTCGATGCACATTGAGATAATTACAGTGCTATCTTCTCTATGTGTACATGCAATTCCACGCTACATGTTCTTTAATGAAGATGCACAGGACAGAGACAACGAACACATAAATTCTGCAGTGTTCCGATAGACACGTGGGCCTCTCCTTATTATCATTGTGAATGGGAACCAGTACTGAAAGAAGGGTACTGTTGGAAAATGTTCAGCCAGGTAGGGCGAAGGCTCAAGCAGAGAATTAGCTTTCAATCATTGCACAGCTAGAAGACATCCAGGTCTGACTCCTTTCCCCTGCCCAAGCCCCACAGAGCCTTATTTATTTGTTCCCAAAGGAAGGCAAGCCATCTAGGGAGATTCCTGTATTATAGGCAGAATAGAATATAAAGTAGTTAGCCTGAACTCTATCCATGTGGATCTATATGCTTGTACCTGATCGGTACTGCTGGCAGTGCACTTATGAGCTACGTGCTTTTGGAAGAGAAGCAGCATCCACCAGAGAATCATGTATGTATCCTCATCCATGAAATAGTGTCTAGACAGCTATCACTATATCCCGGAGGCTTGCCAAGACCGTGGAACATAATTTACTAAAATATGAACTCTTTCATAATACTAACCTGACAACAAGGAGAGGCTGCTAGAATGTCATAAGTATACATGGTTCCCAGCTGATGCCAGCTTCCATCCCACCGAGACTTGCACTTTATGCAGATAATTTTATGAACTCCTTCTAAACAGTCTACACAAACAGCATATAGGTGCATAAGCCTTCCTGTGGAGAGAAATTTGTAAAAACAGATGATATCAAATGTATCACAGAATTAACACATTAACAGAATTGTGAATGGCATTTTTATCAGAAAATGCAAGAAATGAAGCATGCATACAGAAAACATTATGTTTCAAGCCATCTTCTGTCCAAATACCATTAACAGGGAAAGTCTATATTATTCAAAATTACATTCCTAACTTCAAATGCAAATTATTCTTTCTTTACTAGTTTAATCTAATGCTAACAGTCAACAGGTATTAGTTAGTTTCTAAATAGAGGGTTTTTGGTGTTTAGGTTGTAAAATTTTGCCTTTAAAAATTCAGATTTTTAATTAAACTACGAATCAACTGTACTAAAACTAACACATGATCAGTATGAAAAGCTCATTTGTCACATCAGAATGAACGAGACAAGCATTCCAATTTTCAGTTTAACTAAGAAGCTTAACAACTAACTTTAGAGAATTACTATTGTATTACATACTTACTCTCAGCTGCATATCATATGCTTCAGAGGGGGGATGGGCTCTGTTATTGTAAATTCATAATAGATTTTTGCTTCATATGCAAAGCAAAAGTAGAACCCACAAGTTAATTAGGTATCTCCATACATTTAATTTCCAGTTATTATTTCATAAACGTCTACAGTATTTGTATATGTGAATAAAAGTCATATATGATCATCCTTTTGTGGCAAAAGAATGCATCACACAAACTCCTTATGCAGAGAAGGGCGTTGGTCCTACCTGAATGCTTCTTCTCGGGGAGCCGAAGGGAGAATCCAGGATGGGTAATCTCTAGTCTCATAGCTCTGCAGACCGAGTTGAAAAACTGAGGACACACCCCCTGGTAAGTCACCAGTTCTTTTTTTTTTTTTAAGAAATTTTATTGATTTTTTTAAAAACAAACATAAACAAACAAAACATAAAACATAAAAACATAAAACATCTTTTTTGAAAGCAGACTGATCCCGGGTTACATCTCTTTGTACAGACACAAATTCAGATCCATGTTCATTTTATATACCATTCTATATCTTATTACCATTCTACATTTTCTATATAACTTCTCCCCTCTTTCAATTTTCTTAATTTTATTTTATTTATTTCATCTCAATTCAGATCATTATACCTATATTCTTTGCCTGTCCTGTTTCCAGCTGTCAATTATTATCTTTTCTCATTAAACAAAATTTCTCCTGTAATCACTGATTGGAGTATGATGCCTTTATATCTTTCCCCTAAATTTATAACACTTAGTATAATACATAACTTCCATTCGGATTCTGCTTAGTACATTCTAAAGTTACACACTATATTTTAAAAAGAGAAAAAATATATATATATAATATAATTAAAACAACAATCCATACTAATTCAAATCTATTGTTAATATTAGTATTCATTTAAATCTTAAACATTTTACACATTACTTTTCAAATAAGTATCATACTTCTATGGGAACACTTATAAACTTTCCATAGTTACTTCCCCCCACTTCACTCATATTTTAAAACATCATTAAAATGTTCCCATTCCTTCCTAGTTCAATTCTCTCATTTATTTCACTTCATTTATTTTGTTCACAAAAGTTTCACTAAATTACACCGTGTATTTTATCCCATTTTTTAATCATATGTTGTTTCCAATTTTCTAACATTATTTCTAATACAAATATAACAATACAACCTTATGTACCTTTGCAGAATCACTTTTTCAGTTAAATTTTTACCCATTATCTCTAAATAAGTCCTGTTTCTTTACATCTTGCTCCACACCTTTGTAGCTTCTCTTCCCTTCCTTCCTCCGTTGCTTCTTCTCTCTGCCCTTTTTACCCCCTTGTCTCTCCGCCTCCATTTCCCTCTTCTGTGTTCCCATTTTCTGTTGCTTTCTAACATTATATCCACTTTTCACCTTATTTTTCCCTTTTTTGGTTGTTTTTTGAGGTCTTAAAGTCTCCATTCACTTTTCCCCCTTTCCCCCTTCTTCCCTAAGTAAAGTTACTTGTTCATCAAAGATGGCTTCTTCTTTGTCCCAATTTTCTTGTTGCGCAGTCTTTTCTTGTAGTTTCTCATAGGTACAAATCACCATTTCTAAGAATTGAAAAACGGAGCCAAGAGAGCCCTTCCCTTCTTGTTCCTCTTTATATTTTTTAAATTCCATTTTCAGTTCATCCACAAGTAATGCCATTGTAAAAAAAAATTCAAACAACCACCCAAGTGTTTTTAGTCATTCAAATATAATTTCCAAAAGTCCCAAACACAAGCAATCCAAATACACACAAGCTGTTTCTTTTAACACTTTCTTCTTTTTTCACTTTCTCTTCCTGGGGTTACTATTTAGTTACAAAATTCCAGTTAAGATGTATCTTTTAGAAGTCTTGTTAGAATTTAATCAGATTCTTTTAAATTCCAGGCAGTCTCCTCCTTCCAAATCCTACTCTTATTCTTTTCCTCTTCCTTCCCACTTACAGCAAAAAAAAATTTAAAAAAATTATATTCAGAAATCCTTATTGTCCCTTGACATTTAATTATCCAGTTTAATTACCTCTTGATGCCAAACTGGGTTTTTCCAATTTCTCTTTCATCTCTGTTCGCTGTCAACATAAAGAAGGAGAGTGAAAGAAAAAAACTTTCCCTTTTCACTTTCATTCGCTGCTTCCGAATCTTCTTTGGGAACTATATATCTTTTTTAAAGTTTACATTCCAGGATACCTTGGTTGTTGCTTCTTATCCCGGTCAGCCAAAACTTTCACTTCTTAACTTCCTCCTGCACTTTCTTTTCTGGATGAGTGCTTCTTTGAGGCGGCCATTTCTGACCGCCGCTCGTTCACCTTCGGGAAAGGGAGTTTAGCCAGCTGGGGAGGAAAGATGCAGCTTTCCTCGACCCTGCTGGGATCTTCCCCATCTTTGCCACCTCTACGGGGTGGCTTAGCCCCGAAGCCAGACTGGCTCGGGACGCTCCAAAGGCGAGCCCAGGCAGAAACCGTGCACGATTGCGGATTCCTGCCTGCCGCTGAAGCCCTGCAAACCGGAACTCCCAACAGTCACCAGTTCTGAATGACGTCAAAGTGAATCCAGCTGCTCCTCATCCAGATAGCCTATTTGATACTGCGAGAAAAAAAACATTTCTCCCTACTCCGACCAGACAGAATACAGAGTGGGATTGGATTCTCCCTTCAGCTCCCTGAGAAGAAGCGTTCAGGTAGGACCAACGCCCCTTCTACACTGGGCCGAAGGGAGAATCCAGGATGGGACATACCAAAGCTGGCTGATGGCTATCCTATGGGAGGGAACTGGATTGGTTGGAGGTCCCCACTTCTACATGAACACCCTGCAGGACTCGTGTTCCAAAGGACACCTCTGCTAAGGCAAAGGAGTCAATTTTATAATGTCTTATGAATGGGGTCACAGATGACCAAATCGCAGCTCTACCAAAGTCCAGAACCGAAGCCTGCATTGCCCAGGCTGCAGTGGTCACTGCACTCCTGGTTGAGTGTGCAGTGATTCTCCTGGGCACAGGAAGAGCCAGTAACTCATAGGCCTTCGCAATACAGGCTTGAAGCCAGCGACCCACAGTAGATGGTGTCATCCTGCGACCAAAAGTTGGCAGCTGAAAGGAAATGAACAGGGCTTCAGTCCTCCTAAAAGAGGAGGTCCTTTTGATGTATATACGGAGGGTCCTCCTAACGTCCAAGGTGTCCCATTTTCTCTCCAGTGCATGGGTAGGCCCTGGACAGAAGTCAGGCAAAATCAACTCCTGTGAGTGATGGAATAAGGAGTTCACCCTGGACAGACAGGTAGGGTCCAACCGCAGAACCACCCTGTCTGCATGGAAAACTCACAGGTTCTTTCTGATGGATAAAGCCGTCAACTCCAAGATACGCCTGGTCGAAATAATGGTCACTAAGAATGACACCTTGCACGTGAGTAGGCAAAGACTGACTTCATGCAAAGGTTCAAATGGGGGAGAAGTCAGTGCCTACAGGACCCTAGGCAAATCCCAGGTGGGGAAACAGTGGACCATTGGTGGCTTCAAATTAGTGGCTCCCCTAAGGAAAGCTTACACCCTGGGGAGTTGGGCCAGAGTGGTTGAGTCCTTGACTGAAAAAACCCGAGGCCAAGGCAGCCACCTGTCTCTTCAAGGTACTGGGGGTGAGACCTCTGTCCAACCCATCCTGCAGGAATTCTAACACATTTGCCACAGACATAGCAGTAGCTTCCAATAGGTGACTGGCACATCAGCAGCAGAAAATCCTCCACGATGCATCATATATCCTGGTCGTGAAAGGTCTTCTGGCCGCCTGGATGGTCTGAATGACCCTTCTGGAAAACTACTCCTGTTTCAGGAGCACCCACTCAAGTGCCAGATGGTCAACTGAAACCAGGCTGGATCAGGGTGCTCAATCGGGCCCCGGTTGAGGGAGATCCTGTGCAGGGGAATTCTCCAGGGTCTGGCGACCGACTGGCCCACCAGGTAGGCAAACCATGGGCGCCTGGGCCAGTAAGGAGCTACCAACAGAACCTCTGCCCTCTCTGTTAGTACCTTTCTGATTGTTCCCAAATAAGGGGAAGGGGGGAAGGCATAGAATAGCCCTTGGGGCCACCTGCACTGGAGAGAGTTGACCCCTTCTGCTCCCGGTGCTGGGAACTGTGCAAAGAACCTTGGGAGCTGCAAGTTCTCTGGTGGAACGATGCAAAGAAATCCAGAATCGGATGGCTGAACCGTTCCGTCATCTCCTAGAAAAGACTGGGATGCAGTCGCCATTCCAACTGCTCGACTGTGGGCCTCTTTAACCAGTCTGCTTGCACACTGGAAACTCCCAAGATGTTTTCTGCTCGCAGGGACAACAGGTGTATCTCCGCCCACCTGCACAACCAAGTCACCTCCTGCATTAGAGATCTGGAGCGAGTGCCCCCCTGCCGTTTTATGTCGGCCTTGGTGGCCACATTGTCTGTGAGGAGAAAAACCTGTCTCCCCGTACCTCCTGCCTTAGATCCTT